TTTCATACGTTAGCATATCTACTGTACGCAGAGGTTTTCTATTGCTAATATTCGTCGTCTATAAGGCCACGAAAACACTCCGTAGGCCAGATGCAGACTGCTTTGGTCGAGTACATTCTATCCAACTGGCTAGTAAATTGTCGTCTATGCTTCGTGGCTAAATGACTATTTGCACTTAGACGGAAACAGTGTAAAAACTGACTCTGTCTGAAGAGTTGTTTGGCAACAGTAAGAACCGCGTGCATGATTTATTTGGTTTTTCTCGCACTTGACAGGCACTTTTTACTGTTTAACAGTGCTTTTGACAGTTGAATATTGTTGCCTTGAAAGCTAGCCTACCTGGCGTGAATTGAAAACGAGAAAATTGGAGTGTGCGGACTTATGCTTCTGGGTAAAATATGCATGAAGCGTTCAGCTGGGCAAAATGACATCTTGGACAATGCAGTCTCAAATATTTTTTGTGAATCCGATTACTATAGATAACACGTACTTCACACCTGTCCCCCACAATTGGATTGGCCAAGAAAGCTGAGAGCAATCGTAAACGTTTTTTTTCACGTTTGGTTGTATAAGCGAAAACGCACTGTTCTTAGTTCCTTAATGAACAACGTTCTGCTATTCAGCATACTACAAATATAAGTGGTTCAGTCTAACGCGCTAGTGATAGAGTTGGCTATTTTGTGTCAACATATTACAACCTATATTTTTTAAAACGAGGTTAGTCGTCTGCTGGCCAGAGTCAATGGTCGCTCAAATATCAACGTGAAGTACAGATGTCTGCAAACCGCGGCCGATGTGGTTAGTGAGTATATGCATTACACCGAAGTGGGTATATATACATGAAAATAATTTAATGGTCTTGACATATTAACATGATAAACTTTAACTTAAAAAGCGGCCTTATTGGGTCAAACGTGAGGGGTTGATTAAAATTAAGAATGCTGATTTGAGACGCGGGTAGGCACGGTGGAATGGGGCGTTAAGTCGTCTGTTGAGCACTTGACGGACATTAACCATGTAGTGGACACAAAGACTATATTTTAAGTCGCACTTTGGACGCATGAAGTAGCATTAGAGTCTATGACATTTTTGGCGTCAGTTAAGTCCGCATATTTCGTCGCATTTACCTCGTTCTACTTCCTTCTGGGTTTGCGAAACAAAAGGCTTTCATGCGGCATATGTTCTCAGTGGGCCATACAACATGCCCTTCCGTTATGTTATCATCCTGATGGTAGAATTTGCACCCAGTGTTTCCTTATGGGATGCTGTATGTACGGATATCGTATGGTCTTAAAATATCATAATTACAAACTTGTTTAAAACCGAAAGAAAGGATTCAAATATGGACACAGTGTGATTTGCTATAAAACGCGTAGAATAAAGCATAAGTTTGTGTATATTTTCTATAAAAGAAATTCAAATTTATATGACTATCAAAAATTAATCTGAAAAGAATTCAAGTTTCGCAGAGTGTGAATACTCCAGGAGGTCAAAAAAGTGTATTTAAAAGCCGACATCCTGGTCAGTCAGAAATACTATGGAATACCACCGCATGATGATTAGTATTGCAATTCCACCTTCGAAATCCTCCCTAATCGAAAATGCATTTTAGAATTTCGGTCGACATTCAATGAGGTCAATCACTCACCGTATATCACTGACCTTTTTAAATGGCATATATGTCTGTGAAATATGTTGCGAGTTCAGAAGATGAAGATGCGATCACTGGAACAAGGCATTTATTTGCCTGACGTTTCGGATTCTCACTCGAATCCATCATCAGAGACATTTGCATATAAAGGTGATGGGGGCACCAGGAGTGCAGTATTTATAGCACGTGGCTGCTGTTGGACCGTATGCGCACTGCAATTAACTGTTCTCGCAATCACCGCTGGGGTCGTAAGTGATGCGGTGATGGCTTGTCGGTCCGAGTCCGAGTCGTTAATTGCCGCGATTTCGTCATCTGTGCTGGATGCTGGTGTGACGATTGTTTGGCAAACTGGCTCACTGTCAAATTCTACGTGGGTGAGATCAGCTGCACAAATGGAACCGACTTACGGTAGTCTTTAAATTCGCTAAATGAACTGGATGATGGACGATGATGCCGCGCCACATATAAATTTACATCGATTGGAGTATGTAGTTTTGCCATCAGACTGAACGACATACTCTAACTTTTTCGACGAACATAAACATAATATACTTAAACAAGTAAGTTCACCCCATAGAAGAGACGTTTGTGGTTACATGTCATACATTAAACTCTTTGATTATTCAATAATGCGGCTCAACTCTTCTTAGATAAGTTGACGAAATGCGTTTTCTCAAGGTCACGGGTGCTTGGTATTAGCTGTGCAAAAGCGGCAAAAGCTCTAACATGATTTTGGATGCCCATAAATGGTGTTAGTGTAATCAAAATCAAAATGGACAAACGTTCTGTTATATAAAATTGTAAAAAAAGCATAACTACTAAGAAGGATATATAGCGGGTGTTTCTAAAACAAAATAGTTTTGTAAGCATTATATCAAAAGCGACAAAAGAACAATACGCTGCCAATTGTAAAACAAGCCCCTGGCTTTAGGGGCAGATTACTAAAATTAAACAGTCAATAATCAAATAACGCATGTTTAATTCATAGATCCTGATACTCCAATGCCCTACCATCAAAACCATTTAATTTGATATTTTCTTACAAACGGCCCAATAGAATTGGTTCCGACGACACTCATTTCAATATAAGAATTTTGCTAGATAATACCATCTAGCTTTTTAGTTAATATGTTCCACTTTTGAATACAGCTATTTTGTTTAACGTTCAAGTGCTTAACCACGACAAACACCATTATATTTGCCCTTGAAAGTGTCCGACATTGTGTTGGTTGCACGCTCAATTAACCAACCGGAGTCAGTTGACGTCATACGAAAATCTCTCGTTTATTTCCACTGGCTTTGTTCTTGGTCAATGAAAATCTTTGATTTCCGATGATTGAGCAGATATCAGAACCGAATTTCGCACCAACTGATTCACTCGTTGTTTCCAAAACTCTTTTTTAAATCGATACGTAGGACTTTATCGCTGTTGCCAAGTGATTGCCACTTTCAAAACAACGCGTGGGAGATTCACTATATCCGGCGAAATAGGTAATTTAATGGTTTTTTTTCCTCGCACGGACGCGAAAGTCAAGGCTTTTCAGATAAGGATTTTCCATTCAGGGCTTTCCGCTGTCGGATTTTCAGCTACGTTTAAAGACAGGCAACATTTGTACAGTTTTTGATGTCAAACGGAAAACATATCCTGGAATTCTCAGTGAGAGTAAGACATAAGAATTGGAGTCGCAAAAATTCCCATTAAAAAAATCAAAAGTCAATTTGGCAAGCATTCGTCTGCTTTCGGTACATTCCCTCAAAATCCTTAGAGTAATAGGGTTATTGGAATAACCATTCAGAAGTTACTGGAGGGTAGATAATTGTGCTGCAACTCGGGTTTGACGGGAGGGAAGTAAAACATCAAAATTTCAGTTGGCACCAGGGCCAGGGGCCCACCTTCTCCCTGACGCCGTCTGGAATTTTGGTGTTTCACTTTCCACTCCCCTTTAACCCGAGCTGCAGCATAATTATTGCGACCAGTTGCCGAAGCCTCCCTCAGTGCGCTATGTTCAGTTAAAAACTTTAAAATATTTTATCGCGGATTTCATTTGTTTGAGAGAGATCTTAGTTATAATTTCTTGATTTATTTTTCTCAAAACTTTGAAACCCATTTGGTAAGGCTGCCATCGATGATCTAGTGGACGCTCATTGATTGACAGTTCGGCTGTAGCGTTCAACGACATCAACCGCGTGTCCCGAGGGATTGGCGCAGCAGCGGTGTCTTCCGCGTGAATTACTTTTTTAGCCAATGCGTTGTTCCGTAAAAATGTCAACAGTCGACTGGATTATCAGATTGATGTGCAGGTAGGATGATGCGGTTTCGCCAGCTACTCAATTGATCGTTATTTTAAAGATAATTTATTTCGATCGTAGGTTAAAATTCCATCAAATATACCATTATACTCCATTCGTACAGCCACCATATCAAGGCTTCCTAGTCATATAGTGTCAATTGGTGTGTTATCCTTCCTCCCCCATACTAAAGCTAAAACAAAATTTTCAACTTGACAGTGTCTTTTTTTATTACTACAAAAGCGAAATAGGCAATTTTGGGGCTTCGTTTCTCAAATGGGAAGGAAAGTCAGTAAAATCCATCATGGCTGCCCATATAGGCATTTTTTTCATTCCTGTTCCTCCGCTGTAGAAAATCTTCAGGTGGGCTTACAGACAAGCATAATCAACAGGATTTATGATTTCAAACGGAAAATCAATGATGTTCAGAAGATGAAGATGCGATCACTGGAACAAGAAATTTATTTGCCTGACGTTTCGGATCCTCACTCGAATCCATCATCAGAGACATTCGCAGATGCAGGTGATGGTGGCACCAGGAGTGCAGTATTTATAGCACGTGGCTGCCGTGGACCGTATGCGCACTGCAATTAACAGTTCTCGCAATCGCCGCTGGGGTCGTAATTGATGCGACGGTGGCTTGGCGGTCCGAGTCCGAGTCGTTAATGGCGGCGATTTCGTCATCCGTGCTGGATGCTGGTGTGACGATTGCTCGGCAAACTGGCTCACTGTCACCGTGATGATTGCTCGCCCGCGCCCTCCCCACGTGACTGATTCTCCTGTCCAGGGAAATCGCAGTACGGTATGGGGTACCGGGAGGTCATTGTGCTTGTTGATGGATTGCGGGCCTGAGAACCATGACTCGAGCAGCTCACGGCTCACGCGGTTGTCACCCCTTGCGAGGATTTCGGCCTCTTGAAATTTGAAAATATGGCCGGGTCCCGTCGAGTGTGCCGCCACCTGAGAGTTAGCGTCTCCCCGCCTCACTGCCGCTGCGTGCTCGGCAATTCGCGTACGGAGTAATCTCCCAGTTTCTCCGACATAATTGCTTTGTCCGCAACTACACCAGATCCGGTAAATGACTCCAGACGTGTCCTGCCGTGGCAGCGGGTCTTTTTGGCCTCATGATTTGGCGTCTAATGGTTGCTTCCGGCCTGTGTGCAACCCCAACTCCAAATGGAGTGAGAAGACGACTGACGGCTTCCGAGACGTTCTTCACGCACGGAAGAGCCCGCCAAAATTTGGGGACTGTTGGATTTGGTCTCTGGTGTCCTTTTCGTATGCACTGGTTGACAAAGTTGCGCGGGTAACCATTGGCTCTCATTACCCGTCGAAGATATTGTAATTCAGCAACCTTGTCTTCCATTTCACTGCAGAGCGTCTCAACGCACCAGTATAGTGCCCTTACACAACTGCGTTTTTGACTGATCGGGTGGTTGCTATTGAAGTTCAGTATTTGCGTCGTATTTGTCGCTTTCCTGAACACTTTGGTTTTTAGGCCACCACAATCTTTGCGGCAGACGAGGACATCCAGGAAGGCCAGCTGATTGTTTTCCTCCTCCTCCATCGTAAATTGAATGTCCGGGAAGACGGCGTTGAGTTGTTTTTTGAACGTCAGCACCTGATCCCGTTCGATGACGACGAAGGTGTCATCCACATACCGAGCCCAAAATTTCGGTCGGTGGTGTCGGAAAACCAGCGACTCCAGCCGGTGTAGGACCGCCTCGGCTATGAGTCCCGAAATCGGCGAACCCATCAGCGTTCCCTTCACCTGC